GTATGTACGTGCGCGCGTGTGTGTGTGTGTGTGTGTGTGTGCGTGTGTGTGTGTGCGCGCGTGTGTGTATGTGTCTGTGTGTGCGAGCGCGCGCGTGTGTGCGTGCGTGCGTGCGTGTGTGTGCTAGCCGCGGCAAATTCTGTTAAGATGTTTTGAATCCAGATTTCTGCTGGTCCTCTAGTGTAAATGTTTTTCTCCTCTGTCATGTAATCTCGTATGAAGCCGGGCTTCGTTGTGAGCTCAACTTTCCACGTGGCAAAACAAGGTGAATAATTCATCGGCACATTCATCGGTACATGGTCTATCGCATCACTGGGTAATTTTGATTTAATTTACTATACTGAGAGCGGGTGCAAGGACTCTTTCTCACTTCTCTCTATCTCTCTCTCTCTCTCTCTCTCTCTCTCTGTTGCCTTCTCTCTCGTCTCCTCTCGCTCTCTCTCTTCTCTCTCTCTTTCTCTCGTCGTCTCTCTCTTCGCTTCACTCTTCTCTTCTCTCTGCGTCTCTCTTTCTCTCTTCTCGGTCTTCGTCTCTCTCTCCGTCTCTCTCGCTCTCTCTCTCTCTCGCTTCTTACTCTCCCTTTCCTCTCCTGCTCTCCTCCCTGCTCTCTCTCTCTCTCTCTCTCTCTCTCTCTCTCTCTCTCTCTTTCAACGACACAGCATTCACTATTGGGCAGCCTGCGAGGCTTGGAAAGTGACGGTTCGATTTTAACCAGTTGAGTCAACGAAAGCTCAGCATGGGCAATCTACGACCCCCCCCCCCAGTACACGCGCACACTGGCAGCTGCTTGTGAGATTTTTCTCAACGGATCTGGTCTCTTAATGACCGAATCACCTATAACGACTAACGACTGCTAAAGCAAATATGACTAATATTGGCTCACGTAAGGCTACTCTAGGTGGAGATGTGGAGGTAGATTGGAGCGTGTATGAGTAGAGGGTTCGTGCCCTGATTCAGATTCATTCGTGTACGGCTGTCCTGTAAAATACTTCAATTAATACTATCAAAATGTAATAAGAATTGTATTCAATACTTGCCTCATTAACCAGTTCGTGGCGAGAGGGGATCGTCAGAAGTGATGAAGTTACTATGTAAAGTTACTAAAAAACGTGCTAAATGTCCTAAAAAAAACTTTCGATTGTGATATGGGAAAATGGTTGTCAGACACTCGTAATTAAGCAAAAAACAAAATATCGCGACAACCAAACCCGTCTCACCTCGTGTGATAGCTGAACTCACAGGAGCGACAAACTACGTAATTATGTTTATGTGTGTGT